TCCCACACCCAGGCTTCTTTTCTAACTTACTGAACATCACAGTTACTAAAAAGCTCCCTGACTTAGATGACTTGCTTTCTGGTTGGTTCCCTTATGAATGAATATGTGAAATGAGAATTCCATATGTGCTCCTGGAGGATTCTGTCTGAGAATTTAGCATCTGCTTGGCTTAGTAGTCCCTTTGTACACTGCTGAACAATGATTTCAATAGAAACCGACTTTCCTTGAGGAGTTGATTGTTTGAAAGCTTACCAGACTCCTACAACCTTGGTCAGCTCATTTATACACTCATGCTAACACAAAATCTGTGCGAATGTAAGTTTCTCCCATTCCTAAAGATTCTAGCCCCACCTTGGGATGGTTCAGCCTTTTGTTACTTTTTCTCATGGTCTCTTCTTGTGGGCTGTGTCTTCCCACAGATGCAGCAAAGGCATCAAAGCTGAGTTCAGATAACCAGTGCTTCCCTGACTGGCAACACCTTGCCATTGGATCCACAGAAGGGAGGCACATGAGGAGCACACCAGCATCTAGGCATGTTCTGATGACAGGGACAAGAGAACCAACATGTCTTCTCTGAGTTCACCTGTGAGACTCTCTGTCCATTCATTTCCTTACATGGACACATAAAGGACATCACAGTTCCCAAGGAAAGCTGTGGGGATGGGGAGTCCCAGTATCCAAAGCGTGGGTACAAAGAGGATGGACCAGTAATGGGGATATAGGCATCTGTTGGGGCATGGCGTTGTCATGGGGATGGAGCCAGGGCAGTGATCATCTGCCATCCCTGAGCATCCTAGGACCCCTTCAGTTATTTCAAGGAGAAGTTAATATAGGATGCTTTAAAACCATTACCTTTCAAACTGAAGCTCCAAAAAGAACCCTTCCTAATGCTCATTTGTGAGGATGCTCATGACTGGGAAGTCCTCCCTGCTACTGTGTTGCCTTGGGGAAGGAAATCTCCCAGCACAACAAAGGGACCAACCAGAGATTCTTCACAACACAGCTCTTTAGAAGCTCATGTGTTGTCCACTTCATTAAGAAACACTTTTCTGTTATTTTCTGTGATAATCTATTCTGATCAGCTGTGTACTATCAGTAATCTATAAATAATTTAACCTTACACATATGCATCCTTTTATAGGTTATCGGCAAACACACACACACACACACATAAGAAGTGTGATATGAGTGACCTGGGTGAACTTTAACACAAGCCACAATGCATTTGTGTGGGGGAGGTGCTACAGTTTGAGGATGTCCTTGACAGTTCATGAGCTGGATGTATGCTTTCCAGGGTGGTGGTGTCGAACCCATAAAGATGTGGGTGGGTGGAAGGCATTTGGGTTTTGATACACAACTCTTAGCAGGGGTTGATGGTGGAGTGGTGGTCAATTCTTGGAGAGCAGGGCACACACATGCTTAATACTTTTGCATAAATAAGCTCCATTCCAATTTCCCGTCTATGCTATGTATACACATGTCTATGCACAGTATCTATGAGTGTCAGGAGGCTGGAAAGGCTAGCAGCTCAGGGCTGCCTAGGTAGAGACCTGTCTATCTCAAGTGACCAGCAAGTCTGTGGAGGGGGCTTTTCATCCATGTTTCATTCTCTGAAACACAGGTTGTTAAATGGGTTGAAATTCCACCGGATACACTTGGGAAATGAAAACAGAGGCATCCTCCTTTCCATCCATACATTCAAATGAAACGTAAGTGAGTTCTTTCGTGTTTATGTAGAACCGCAGACCACTCCACTCATCTATGCACTGTTTTATGTGTGCATCTTGGAAATGGAGGAGGCAAAGCTGTGTCCCCAAGGACTGAGTCAGGGGCCAGGGAATCAGCAGTGGAGCAGTTGCACACTAATGTCTGATACAAAGGACATTGTAGGTGGTGATCAGAATGCTAGGAGGCCTACTTGGGACCTTGGGTTTGAACAGTGTTACTGTTCAGGAGGAAGAAGGACAGGCAACATCTGCAGGGTCATCCTCCAAGCTCCGTGTACAGAGAAGCAGACAGCACACAGGGCACAAGGAGAGCACAGGATGCAGCCACCAACCAACATGCTGTGTGAACCTCAGCCCTCCACTGCTTTGATGAGTTGTTTAGGAAAAGTGGGGCAAGTACATTGTTCAGAAAAAGCAAATCTAAGATACTAATGTATTCTCCCAGGGCAGGCTCCTTTGTTAGACTCACCACCATGCATGATGTGCTGGCTACTTTTATGTACTTTTATGTCAACTTGACACCAGCTAGAGTTATTTAGGAAATAGGAGTCTCAATTGAGAACATTTTACCACAATACTGGCCTGTGTGTAAGAGTGTGGGGCATTTTCTTGATTAATGAGTGGCATGGGAGGACTCAGTTCACTGAGGGCAGTGCCACCCCTGGGAAGCTGGTCCTGGATGGTGTAAGAAAACAGGCCGAGAAAAGACATGATGAAGAAGCCAATAAGCAGCCCTCCTCCACGGTCTCTGCTTCACCTGCTATGACTTCCCTCAGTGATGGACTGTTACCTAGAAGTGGAAGAGGAAATAACCCCCTTTCTTCCCATGTTGGTTTTGGTCATGGTGTTTCATTGTAGCAATAGAAACCCAGACACAATATGGTCACACAGATGTGGTATAACTTCTGCAGCAGCCTCTACTCCCACAGCTGTTTGTTTGATAACATTTTCAAAACATTCTCAGGGAAGGCTCGTTGCAAGGCAAGAAGTACACACGAAACCACCGACTTAGTCACACAGGAGGAAGCTAGCAGTCTTCAGACAAACATCTAGTTAGGGCTGGTGACTGAAAAGCCAAGTGGCAGTAGATGAGGGAGAGCTGGAGACAGAAGGAGAAGGACTTGAGGTGGCCAAGTAGATTGGAAAGAGGCAGAATGGCAGTGCGTCTCCACCTTAGCAGGACGCTGCAGTGGCAAATTCTCCCCTGTTGTGGTGTCTGGGTTTCTCCTTGAATCTCCTAAATGTAAAACTTTAGAATATGACCATGAAGATCATAGGAGCTTTTGTACTTTTGCCAAGGGTTGTTTAAAAGTCCTTAGCAGGAGAGTGGCATCTAGTTGGCACTCTGCCCATCTTCCCTGTTCCGTGCAACAGCTCATAGGCAGTGCTCAGTGAGGCAGAACACCACTCCTCCCACACCACTGCAGTATCACTTACTCTAAGGACATGTTGAAGGCTGAGTAGTGAAAATTGATCTAGGGTTTTGGCTAGCGGGTGTCAGAGATGAGGCACACACCATGGTCTCACTTCATTCCTTCTCCTGACCATCAAAATACATCCTCTTGTGTGGTGATCTCATAAACATGGAAATACGAGACAGGAGAAGATGTCCAGATTAATGGATCAGCTAAAAATTCTTGTACGACTATATAGGTTTGCTAATGCTATTTAATGAAAACTAACCCCAGAAGACAATATCCACATCCACAGGGTCTCTGTGTTTGCCAAACTTATTGATTACAAGAAATAAAAGAGGCAATTTATAAAAGGAGCTTTACCAGAAGCTATTTTAGGCAAGCAAACATGGCATGACCATCTCTTAACAGGTCAGATAAAGCAGTGCACCCTGATAGGCTGTTAAGATAAACCCAGGTACTTACCTGAATCTAAGGAGAAGGAAAGAACCCAACTAATTTGGATCACAGACATTCTACAAAGTAAGTGGCTTAGAGTTTTCAAAAGTATCAACATAATGGGAAGGGAGGTATAGTGTTACGGCAAAGCATGTGCCTAACATGCATATGTCCATGACATAGCATGGGCCTAACATACATATGTCCATGGCATAGCATGTGCCTAACATACATATGTCCATGGCATAGCATGTGCCTAACATGCATATGTCCATGGCACAGCATGTACCTAACATACATATGTCCATGGCATAGCATGTGCCTAATATGCACATGCTCCAAGTTTTGATTCCAGCCCTATAAAACAAAACAAAAGCACATGTACACAACCAAACTTGTTTCTTGGCATGGTAGTAACTCAGCCACACACTGATTGCTTACACTATTCAAAAGGTCCTGGGCTGAATCTCTAGTACTGAACAAACAAACAAACACAAATCAAACACACAAACAAACAAGAAGAAAAATAGCAATGAAAGCAAGGGGTGATGGGGACAATACCAGGAAAGATGCAAACAAAAGCAAGGCAAAAAAAAAAATGGTAAAGATACAATCAGCTCCAAGGCATGGAAGACAGGGAAGAGACAGTGACGATGACTGTTTCCCAGACAATCAAGGGCATCGGAATTGGGACAATATACTGGGTAGCACTGTTTTTCAGTGTTTCAGATTTCACAGTGAGGATGTTGGTCTGGTTTTGTAGAGACTGCTGTAAGCTTAGGAGATCCATGCCAGAGGGTGCCAAGTTATCTGTAGCTTGCTTTCAAATGTTTCGGATACAAAGTTTATAAACTCTCTGTGTAACCAATGAGTAAGTCTGGTTAAAGATTTTAGGAGTTATCACTGTCCTATTCCTTAGATTCTTCTGTACATTTGAAGTTCTTAATGGTAAGAAGTAAGGCAAAAAGGCAAATGAAAGTGTGTATTTCAAGAACTGTAAGATGAAAAGCCACTCAGCTAGACAGAAACTGTCACTCTGGACAAGCCTTAAAAAAAGGAAACATAAAATGAAAACAGTGTGTTAAGACAACGAAGTCTATTTTCTTTGCTTTTATCACTCTTAAGACACAAAATGAACCTCAGCTGCAAAAGTGGCAGTGCTAGTTTGCACTAGGGCGCACCAGGCTACTTGTCAGTCATCACTGTCACATTCTTCTCAAGAGTAAAGCCATCCTACACTGAACTCCAATGCAGTGTCAAAGGTATTTCTGACCTTTCATTCACTGTATTCCTGTGGGAGGTTAGCACACTGCATGGGGTTCGACCCCATTTCCTGGCGCTCTGTTTCTAGAACTCTGAGGTTTTTGGAGATGTTGGTAGCCCTTTCACCCTGCCACCAGGACCCCAGCATTAGACTTACTTTTCAGACTCCGTGCTCTTTGGAGGTGAGTGGCATTCAGGCATTTGGGTCGACATGGCACCGTCCCTGCTGGAAATGGCCCATTGCTGCCACAGGGGAGGTATTAGAGCCCAGTTAGCCCCTGAGAACTCTGGAAAGGAGAGAGTAGAGAATATTCAGAACTTTCACTAATTGAGCATGAATAATTTATATAATTTCTCTCTTTTTTCTCACTAGAGGCACCCTTTGAGTAATTCTCTACAAATCATTTTTGTAGGCAATACATTTCTGGAGTTCTTTAATAAAAACCAGAAGAATAAAATAGAGATTAAGTGAAAGAAAATGAAGCTTAATAGAAAATAGTCTTGAAGAAGAACAAAAGTGGAGGTCTCACACCTAATTTCTGAATATTAGAAATCTCCAGCAGATGAAACAGTGTGGTTTGGGATAAAGACAAACTTATGGATCACCGAGAAAGCAGCAGACTTAGAAGTCAATTGTTACTTAAATGGCCTGTGATTTCTGATGAAAGTGTAAAGGCGATTGAAAGAGAGGTTTTTTGTTTGTTTGCTTGTTTGTTTGTGTGTTTTTTGGCTATAGGCAAAACTAGGTATCAATATGCAAAATATGAATTAGGGCCTTACTTAAAAGCATACCTATATGCAAAGCATAAAATAATAATAAATAATGATGATAATAATAACCATAATAATAAACTTCTCAGGAAGAAACCCATAGAAAAGCTTTATAATATTGATTTGGACAGTTATTTCTTGGTATGGCAGGAAAGACAGGCATATGGGAGGGACCCAAACTGGCTCTCATGGAAAATACTATGAAGACAGAGAGTAGGAGCCACACCCTGGGGGAAGTTTACAAAATACACAGTAGATTAAGAGACATTACCCATTTTGTTCATGAGTAACCTTTGCAGGTAAGTCACTTCTTCCCTTTCCTTTTCCCTCTGCCCTGGCCTACGGTTGTCTCACACCCATAGCCTAGCTCCACCTTCAGCCCAAGAACCGGGTTTGTTCAGGAACCACCTGTGCCTGGAAGCTGCTTATTCTCTTTCTCACTCTTTCACCCTGCCTGCTGCCATCTCCACATAGCATACCATTGACTGGTAAGGTACGCCTTTCTTCTCTGATCTCTCCCCCGCTCCCCCATGACTGTGACTTTCTGCACCCATAGGCCAAGCTCAAGACTTGTGGTTTCAGAGTCATATTTTTTTTCTGGTCCAATTAAATAGCTTATAGACCATATTTACCTGGCCTGGCTTATGTCAGACATCTTCTGCATTGACCCAATAGAAGCCAAGAAGATTGTCTTATCAGCCATACAACCAAAGAAAGAACTTCACAAGCCCAGGTCAGATCACAAAACCAAAGCCAACCTGAATGACCAAGATCACACGTCTTCCACCAAACCACTTGCCCAATGATAATTGCCTAGAGGAACCCCAGGACACAGAATTTCAAAGAAGAATCATAAACTTTAGGAAAGAAGACAAGGAATTTAAAGAAGATATAAACAAACACTTCATTGAATACCAAGAGGCTAACAATAGATACCTGAGCAATGGCCAAGTAAAATACTAGCACATACCCGAAAGAAATAACAAAGATAATTCAGCAGTTATTTCAAAGCTGAATCCAATGGAGTTAGAAACATTGAAAAGAACACAGGCTGAAGTGAAGACAGAGTTGAAAAAAAATATTTCAATTAGAAAGCTCAGGGGAAAGACAAGGAGAATGAATAAAGCAGAGGATAGAATATTAAGCCTTGAAGATAAAGTAGAGAATCTAGATCAAACAAGCAAAGAAATGACAAATTTAAAGAAGCACAGGAAAGGACCATGCAGGAAATGTGAGATAATATTAAAAGGTTAAACCTTTGAATTATAGGCATAGCTGAGGGACAAGAGTGCCAAGTAAATGACACAGATCAGATCTTTAAGACGATCATATACAAGAAACATATAGAACCCCAATTAGACGAGACCAGAAATGAAACTCCTCATGGCCTATCACAGTCAAAACACTAAGCATACAGAACAAAGAAAAAGAACATTGAAAGCTGACAGAGAAAATCCACAATTCACATTTAAAAGAAAACCTATCAAAATAGCAGTTGATTCTGATTGGGAATTATAAGAGCAAGAAAAGCCTGGAGCAATAGACTCCAAGTCCTAAGGGACCCCAGCTACCAACCCAGAACACTGCATCCAAAGCTAGAAAAGCCTGGAGCAATAGACTCCAAGTCCTAAGGGACCACAGCTACCAGCCCAGAACACTGCATACAGAAAAGCCATCCACCATTACCAGGTGTAAAGAAAGACATCACATCCAACAACAGCAACAAAAACAAACTGAATAGAATCCTGGGAGCAATACTTAGAACCAAAGAGGGAAAAAGATACAGTCACAGAAGTCTAGAGAGAAACAAACAAAGCTACAATTAATAAAATACAAAGCACAACTAAGCAAACCAGAAAAATATGACTGCAGTCTAAATACACCTTTCAGCGGGGGCTGCATCAATGGCCTCAACCACCCAGTCAATAGACACAAGCTAGCTGAATGATTAAGAAACAAATCTGTCCTTCTGTTGTCTATAAGAAACCCATCTTAGCTGTAAAGTGAAAGGATGGAAAAAAGTATTCCACTCACATGGACTCAGGAATCAAGCAGGAATGGCAATCCTAAAGTCTGACAAAATAGATTAAAACTCAAAGTAACCAGAAGAGACAAAAAAGGACACTTCATTCTAATCAAAGGAAGAAGTAACCCAAACCACATTACTGCCCTAAATACATGGGCATCAAGCACTGATGAACCCAATTTCGTAAAAAGCATTGTAATGGAATTAAAAACAGAATAACAAAAACCCATAGGTAACTTCAAATACCCCACTCTCTCCAACAGATAAGTCATCTGGACAAAAAATAAAAAAACATTAGAATTAAATGACATCCCACATCAAATAGATCTAACAGACATCTACAGAACATTCCACCCAAACATCAAAGAGTAGACAATCTACCCAGCAGCACATGGAAGTGTTTCTAAAATAGATTACATACTGGAACACAAAATAAACATTAGCAAATACAGAAAACTGAAATGATTCCAGGTGTCCTATCTGACCATTGCACAACAAAACTTAAAATTGACAGCCGACAAAATCCCAGTAAACTTGTAGAAATTAAACAACTTACTACAGAATGATGAAAGGGTCAAAGAAAAACTCAAGAAGGAAATAAAAATATTCCTGGAACCAAATGAAAATGAAAGCACAACACAGCAAAACGTCTGGGACGCATTACAAGCAGTTCTCAGGGGGAAGTTCATAGCCTTAAGCGCGTCCATGAAAAATAGGAAAGAGCACCAGTAAATGACTTGATACCACTCGGGAATTTGGAAAAACAAGAACAAATCAAATCCAAGCCTAGTCAATGGCAAAAAAATAATCAAAATCAGAGCAAAATTCAATGAAATAGAAACAAAGAAAACAATTCATGGAATCAAAATCTAAGAGTTGGTTCTTTGAGAAAAGATAAACAAAATTGACAGACTATTGGCCCAAACTAACCAAAGGAAAGAGATGACTCAAATTAACCGCTAGAAGAAAATATAGGCCGTAACCTACAAGATGGTGTAGGAGAGGACTTTCAGAATATGAACCCCTTTACCTATGAATTAAGATTATAATTGTTAAGTGGGACCTCATAAAACTAAAATGCTTCCATGTAGCTAAGAAAACAATAAAATAAAGAAGAAACCTATAAAATAGAGAGAATCTTTGCCAGTTATATCTATGACTGAGGATTATTATCCATAATATACAAAAAACAAGAGTCAAAGAAACAAATGACCCAATTAAAAAATAGGTTTGGGGTATAATCAAACAGTTCTCAATAAAAAAATTTTAAAAACTAAGAAATACATAAAAGTGTTTATCATCATTAGCTATTAGGGAAATGCAAATTAAAAAACTCTGATAGTTCATCTAAGCCCAATCAGAGTGGCTAAAATCAAGAAAAACAACTAAAATTAAAAGTCAGTGTGATTGTGGGGAAAAGGAAAGTCTCACAGTAGGGATATGAACTTATGCAGTTGTTCTGGAAATCAGTATGGGGAATCCTCATACTAAAAGCAAATCTACCACCTGACCCAGCTATATCATGCCTTGGTACATGTCCAACTCCACACAAACTTGCTCAGAAGCAGACACTGCCACCCTATTCACAATAGCTGTAAAATGGAAACAGCCTAAGTGCCCTTCAGAAACAGATGAGTAGACAATTAAAATGTAGGGCATATGCACAGCGGAACACTATTTAGCTGTTAAAAAACCCCCACAAAATTTGTAGGTAAATGAATAGACCTAGAAAAGATTCTATTGAGTGTGGTAAATCCAGAACTAGACTGACAAACATCACATGTTCTCTCTCATCTGAAGTTCCTACCTCCAAATGCTCAGATGTGAGTATACAACAAGGAACAACTAGGACCGCGTAAAGGGACCATGGAAAGTGGAGGCTTGAGAAAAGGGGAATACAAGGAAAGGGAAAAGTGGAAAAATTGGGGGGCTTCATTAGAGAAGAAGAGACGGGCTCAGTGCAGAAGGAGAAGGCAGGAGGAGTGGCAAATAACACCAAGGGTGTTTGATTAAGCCTCAAAGATTCATAGTACACCATGTTTACCTAAAATAATATACAGTGCATATAAGTGTATGTGGACATACACATCTCTCTCCCCCTCTCTAATGTGTGCGTGTGTGTGTGTGTGTGTGTGATATGTACCTATCACACCTTGTTGTGTGGTTACTAGTGTTAATGATAATACAGATATATAATGAAAATGAGCAAACTGAGCACGGAAAAATATTTGAGGAGAAAATGGGAACCAGAAAGTGGAACAGAACTAAATTCTGTGTTCAGGGAAATAAATGGATTATGAAATGGAATAAAAAGAGTGGTGTCCTCGGGGCAAGATCACACCAAACTAAATTTCCAACTTGGGAAAAGGAATTAAAGAAAAGTTTATAGCCAGGTGTGATGGTGCATGTCTTTAATCCCAGTACTGGCAGGGTGGAGGCTGGCCTGGTATACAAGTAAGTTCCAGGACAGCCAAGTGTAGGCAGTGA